CATCAGTACCCACTTCATAAACTTCACTACAGAAGAGTTTCATCTTTGGTTCAACATCAAACTGGTCCCCATCCTTGCAGGTTTCACTACAGAGATGCTCCAAATTGCAACCTCAAGCATCAACTGCACAAACTACCATGTCATGTAGGTTACACATTAGCTACCACCAAGTACTGAATACATCAAAATGAAAAGTACTTTAGAGGAGCTGTGTATGACAACTTTCTACCAATCTTTGCAGTGTGAGCGGGCTGGACAAAGTTTTTTCAGACATACCGCAGGATAGACAGCAAAGACTTGCAGACGTACTGCTTGACTACCTGAGGAGATCTGCCAGTGTCATCAACCAGCCAGGTAGGCCTGGCAAAATGAAACTGTGGCCCATGCACACTGCCTTGAARTCTCTGAAGAAAAAAAAGATCATTCAGACACTCCAAACAAAACTGGACCCAAACTGTCYGATTAAAACCGGAACTTGCTTTGTTGTGCTAGTTCTGACATTTGTATGTACGCTTCAGTTTGCAGACCTGGAAATCAGAGTGATGACCGAACACTTCAAGTCAACTTGGCTCAATTTGCTACATTGATACCATATTCTGACCTGAAATTCCTCAACCTCTCCCAGGTAATTTTTCAGTTTTCATTTGTAACTTTTATTTTTCTTACATTACAAAAACAAATGCTTTGTTTTAGGACCTAACAACATTTTTAGTTTTCATTGTTATGTCTTTTTTCTTTTTCAGACTGTCATTTTAGATTCACTATCATCTGAACAGAAAGCTGAACTACTTCTTGAGCCCAACAATTTTGCCAATGAAACTCTCATAATTTTTGTATTCAAACAAGTCACTTCATCTTCATCTCTGCAAAATCTTGTGTCATTTTTTGACACTTTTGTGAATGGTATTGAAAAGGTAAAAAAAACATATACATATATATATACATTTAGCATGTCTGTTTTTTGACTTTGTAAAACAATAAACCTTTCAAAATATTTTTTTATTCAGCTAAACATGACAACATTCAGCTCTGGACTACGTGATACCATCCTTAATCTGACATTGACAACACTTGGCCCACAACTGACTCATTTTAGCTCTGATGAGATCAAGTTATGGTTCCAAGTTTATCTCCAACTCTTCCTCCCAAGTGCTGACTCAAGAACCTTTGAAGGTTTTCCAAGAAATATCACCTGTAGCTCATATCAAGAGATGTGAGTGAAAACTTTACTCTTCTACTAACAGGAATATTTCTTCATTGTTTAGTTTTTTGATTATTTTTTTTTCAGTGTCAAAGGATTTGACAACATTTTCATTCAGCTCTCTGAGCAACAGATTCAGCAGTTTCTCACATTTATATTGGCCTATCTCAAGGGACAGCTGTCTTCGGGTAAGCTGAAAATCGTAATTTTCTGGACACTGATTGCTTTAAATGTTCAAACTTCTGTTTATGCTTCAATCTTAAGAGTAAGTTGTTTATTTTTCAGGTTTTTCATGTGCTGACTCTGCAACTGATGACAGAAATTGGCTTGAAAACAATTTTGGTCGGTTTCGTTTTCAAGCTTCTTTAAATGACTTTTTGACATTCAAGAACAATTTCAATGGGGTAAATACTATATTTAAGATCCTAAAGACGTTTTCAGTTAAGTAAACTACAAGAAATATAAACACTTGGATAAAAATTATAAAAATGTTTTGTTCTCTGGCTGACTTGGAACTTTGGACACTAATGGGTGTATTATTTGAATGCATTACCTGACATATTTCCCACCAGCTCAGGTAAATGATATAGGATTTAAAAAGGTGAAGTTTTTTAAACTACTATAAAACAAACGTTTTAAGTGAAGTAACAAATACTAATTAATACAATTTTTAAGTTATCTTACCAGTAGATTGAACAGTTACTGCATTAGGTCTGAGAAAGTTAAATGTGCAGCATGCGGTTGCACCCTGAATACATTGTGCTGTTTGTATTAACTTGTTGTTTTGTTTAGGTGGAGGTTTCAGATCTTCTCACCTTCTATCAACTGAGTGAGCTTGCAGGAATTCCTTCTCAGCTAAATGGAACACATGATGTGACAAAAATTATGACATTTATCAACGCTTCTGAGTTTGGTGCTTTCTTTGACAAAGTCTCACCAGCTATTGAGGTAAACAATGTCAAGATCTTCTTTTGCTCTGTGATATTCTGTGATATCATGTCTGAGAAGTTGTATATTGTTTTTGGTATTGATGTTTTTTTATTTATTTGTGGATTTTGAAATAAAAAAACTATAAAAGTTATAATAAATAAATAAATAAATACCTGCCATTTTATTTCAAGAGTGACACTATCAAAAAAAGTATTAACATTTTCATGACTATTTAAGAAATAATTTTTAAGATAATATTTTTAAGCCAGAAAACAAATAAGAGGGTTACTTTAAGTTCCATCAATTTGGGAAAAAAACAAATTTAAAAAATGATTGGATTGAAACTGACAAATATTTGATATAAACAAATTAATGTCTCTTTTTCACACCAAGTATATTTCCCCACAGGCCCAGTCAGCCAACTACACACAGGAGGTGAAGTCTGCCTTCCTCCAGGGAGTTTTTGACCGAGCAGGTCTCGCCTCACCAGTTGTAAGTGATGGAGAGTTCCTGCTGTGGCTGAAAGTGCGACTGAGGCCTTTACTGGTCGATCTTTCTCCAAGTTTGGTGGCACAGTTTTTCAGCATTGGGACAAACAGGAGCTGCAACAGCAGCCAAGAAATGTATGTATTTACCCTATACAGGCAAACCAGTTTGAAAAAATAAATAGATAAATAAAAAAATATATATAGTTTTAAGGCAGTCTTAAAATAATACAGTGAATAGTAGAAATATTATTTTCAATTGATAACAGCTAATTTGTATGTATTAATCATTTTTAATTTTTTTAGGATTAAAATACTTGATACAATAAACTCAACTCTCAGCATCAACACACATACAGAGATCTACAAAAACATTGTCCTCTTCCTTCAAGGTTTGTGGAAGGCATAATGCCACACTGCAAAAACTCTATCTATAACAAAGAAGTGTTTCTTTTTCCTGCATATTTGTCTCTGTTGTATTTGTTCACAAAATAATTTATTTTATTTTGCAAAACAGGTTCAACTCCACTGAAATGTTACACAGGGGGAAGTTTCTACATCTTTCTGAAAAACACCTTCCTCAGTTTTGGCTTTCCAGACGTGTCAACATTGCTATCTCTTCTGCCACCAACACGCAAGTCTGAGGTAAATAAACAATTTAAACAAATAGATACCTCCCCCATAAATGTAGATGGGGCAGCAGAGTTTTAGATGCACTCGGAGAAACAAAAAATAAGAGAAAGCTACAGCTATGTAGCTGCACTACAGAAACCCAATTTCTATGCAAAATATTTTATTTTTTCTTTTTCAGCTCCTAAACACCATCAGCACCTCAGAACTGCATCAGTTCCTCAGTCAGCCTGGTGTAATCAGTAATGCCTCAGACGTCTGCATTATCTTCAACAGCTACAATAACACAAATGACTTCCTTCAAACTGTATGTCCCTCATTTCAGATACAAAGCCAAATACAATATGCAATTTTACAAGCTCATTATAGCAAGTTAGAATCTGCCCATGTGTCATTAACGCTGAAACTCCATCCATAACCTTTAGGAGAATGTTTCTGATGATCTGAAGAAGGTGATCCTCCCTTGTGTTTGGAAGTTTGCTCTGAGCAGCACCAGCATGTCTGAGGCCAATTTGTGGTTTGATGTTCGGTTGAAAAACTACCTGGGATTCCTCACCAAGAGCCTCATCAGCTCCACTGAAGTGCAGAACGCCTCGTGCTTCGCCTTCCAGAAACTGTAAGTCTTTGTCTCAGAGTCTTAAAATTGACAAGAAGGATCGAACGCAGCTCAGTTAACATTAGTTTTTTTCCCCACTTTCAACAGAGTGTTCTTCATGGGAAATAACTTCACGTACAATAGTTCTGATTTTGGACAGATGGATGTGTACGCCACCATCAAGAGCTACTTGAGTGCTAGTATGAATGTTTTTATACAAGTGCAAAAATAGATTAAAATGATTGAAAATATTTTTTTATTTATTAAAATGTGCAATTTTTGCTTTTATGAGACATGATTAAAATTAACTTTAACTTTACTGTGCATATAGTAGTATAGTGTAGTATAGTGACAAGAAAACTGCATCACTCTCTTCTTGAAACACCAGTGAAAATTTTGATAASAATCTGTTTTCCTCAGGCTCCGGAGTCAGATGCTACAATCCCAATGATCCAGAACTCAACTCTACATCCTGGTTTGTCAAATACATCAACAACTTTGTGACGTTTATCACTCTGGATGACTTCACCAACTTTGGTTCCTCCACTCAGGTATGCTATTAAATAACCCCTGGCAAAAAGTATGGAATCACCAGTCTTGGATGAGCACTCATTCAGACATTTCATTCTGTAAAACAAACTCAGATCAAAAACATGATACAATAATAAGGTCATTCCAAAGTGCAACTTGTTGGCTTTCAGGAACACTCAAAGAAATGAAGAGAAAAAATTGTGGAAGTCGGTGAATGTTACTTTTATTGACCAAGCACAGGGAAAAAATATGGAATCACTCAATTCTGAGGAAAAAAGTATGGAATCATGAAAAACAGATAAACAAAAGACCATTCAAAATACATCACTAGTATTTAGTTGCACCACCTTTGGCTTTTATAACAGCTTGCAGTCTCTGAGGCATGGACTTGATGAGTGACAAACAGTATTCTTCATCAATTTGGTGCCAACTCTCTTTGATAGCAGTTGCCAGATCAGCTTTGCAGGTCGGAGCCTTGTTGTGGACCATTTTTTTCAATTTCCACCACAGGTTTTCAATTGGGTTGAGATCTAGACAATTTGCAGGCCATGACATTGACTGAATGTGTCTTTCTCCAAGGAATCCTTCACTGTTTTTGCCCTATGGCACGATGCATTATCTTGGAAAATTATTTCACCACCTCCAAACATCTGTTCAATTGAAGGGATGAGAAAACTGTCCAAAATGTCAATGTAAACTTGTGCATTGATAGAAGAATTAACCACAGTCRTCTCCTCAGTGCCTTTGCCTGACATGCAGCCCCATATCATCAAGGACTGTGGAAATTTGGTTGTATTCTTCAGGCAGTCCTCTTCATAAATCTCACTGGAACGGCACTAAACAAATGTTCCAGCATCATCATCTTGTCCAATGCAGATTCTTGACTCATCACTGAAGATAACTTTCATCCAGTCATCCACAGTCCATGATTGCCTCTTCTTAGCCCATTGTAGTCTTGTTTTTTAGGTATCAATGATGGTTTTCTTTTAGCTTTCCTGTACTGAAATCTCATTTCCTTTAAGCAATTTCTTACAGTTGGGTCATGTACATTGGCTCCAGCTTCCTCCCATTTATGCTTCATCTGTTTAGTTGTACTTTATCATTCCGTGCTGTTTGCATTTGGTCCGTATCTTGGATACAGCTGATTGTGAACAGCCCGCATCTTTAGCAACCGTGTGTGAAGAGTAACCTTCAAGAAGTTTCACAATCCTCTCTTTTGTTTCAAGAGACATTTCTCTTGTTGGAGCCATGGTTCTTGCCCCTCCACTTCATCCAGCAGCCCTCCAAGGTGTCATGACTGCAGGTGTTTTTAACTGCAGACTAACAAGCAGATCTAATCTGAGGCAGGTGTCCATTTAGGGAAAGAAAATTGACTGGGTTTGTCCTTATTTTCTACCTCCAATTTGAATGATTCCATACTTTATTCCACAGAATTGAGTGATTCCGTATTTTTTCCCCTGTGCTTGGCCAATAAAACATTCACATTCACTGACTTCCATCATGTTTTCTCTTCATTTCTTTGAGTGTTCCTGAAAGCAAACAAGTTGCACTTTGGAATGACCTTATTATTGTATCATGCTTTTTGATCTGAGTTTGTTTTACAGAATGAAATGTCTGAATGAGTGTTCATCCAAGACTGGTGATTCCATACTTTTTGCCAGGGGTTGTATATTAAAGTTAGTACACCAAGTCGGCATAGACCCTTCATAAGGCTGCATCAAACTGCTGTGGTCACTGAAATGCTATGTTTTAAAATTTCTTTAACATCTGATTCATGAAATTTCATGCATTATTTTACCGTGATAAAAATGTTTATCAAAAGAGATGAGAACAAGACATTGCCAACTCAGCTTTATGAGGGTTTTGATGGCATCGTATTTGTGGCCAGCTTGAATGAGTTTTTATTCTTTCAACAAAACATAATGAAAGTGGGCTTTTGTACTGACATGTATTTTTTTTTTTCATAGACTAAGGTGTTCTTGGAGGATCAAGCCAATCTGGAGCTTTTCAGTAATATAGCAATCCCAGAAGATGTAAGAAACTACTACATCTCACAGCTTTATATGTTCAACCCAACCTACAGTGTCACCATGTGAGTCACCACCACTTTCTTAAGAAAATCCCACAATTTGAATGTTTGCAAGTAAACCTGTTTCTTTGGCATACTTGCAATATATGTTTATTTATTTATTTATTTATTTATTTATTTATTTATTTCATTTAGGCTCCCAGGTTATTTGTTGTGCTCCCCTGACATTCCAAGTTTAGCATATACTGCTCTTAATGACGCTGACACCATGGTCATTCTGGACAGGAGGAAGGAATTCTGCAATGGAACCAATTATCCTGAGGTACCAGCTCAAAATGTTCCTACTTAAAAACATAACCTGCCTTTAAAAGTTCCTATCAGTGGCCTTCCCCAAAGCCAAATACAGTATTAGTTACAGCAAGTAAAACCAGTATCACCTTGTATAATATAGCGCATTTATGGTTGTTTCCTTTGTCATTTAGCGTTTAGATGTTTCTTTTATTTGCCTGAGGTTTTTGGCAAGCTTACCCAATGTAAATTATTCTAACAAATCTCATTTTTTTTTATTATCCAATAGGTTTCTGCTGCTTTGGCATCCAACTTTCAGAAGTTCTCACAGCAAACAATTGTAACTCTTGGGAGTGCCTCTTCAGGCCTGACCAACACCCAGCTCAATTCAATCCTCCCAGAAGTGCTTCTGTCTTCTTTGCCCACCCTGGGCTCAGTGACAAACTGGGGTCAGGACCAGGCCAACACAATCATCCAAGTCCTTATCTCTTCAGGCTTCCAGGTAGAAGTTTGAAAAACACTCCTTTGGTTTGCCTAAAAACTGTGGAATTTTTATGCTTTATAGAGGAAGCTTAGTCTAGTTATGTATACTATATTCTTTAATATAACCATGACCCTGAACTAACTGCCAGTTCATTTAAAAATGATCTAACTGATAAAAGTGTATTTGACAGCTCAACAGTACCGCCTCCCTGGAATCCCTGGGCACTCTTATTGCTGGAGTTCCTTCAGCAACCATCTCCAGTATTTCAACTACAGAACTTCTCAGCGCTTCTAAAAACCCCACCTTTGTTTCCAATATTGTGGGAGCTCCAGCAGTTCTCCAGGAGACTTTTGTCAATAAGGTTAGCTTGTTATCATAAAGCTGAGACATATTCCTTAAATGATCTCCTCACTTTCTAAGTCTGAAATAGGAAAATCTAATCTCCCTGAAAGAAATCTTCTCAGATAAACCTATATAATTATCCAAAAGCTGTGTGGTAGCTAAAACTGCTGCATGTAAACTTTAACAGTTTCCTTAATTCTTTCTGTAACAATGCCGAAATTGGGGATTTTTCTTAAACAAATTTATAAATAACTATTATAAATATAAATTATAAATAATATGATATAAATTATTAAGACACTAGAATTGTTTTTTTTTTATTTCTACCCTCACCATTGCACATGGATTGAACAAAAATAATTTTATTTAATTACTCAACAGGTCATTTCTGTGGACAAAAGTCCATCCAAGGTGTTGCTGAATGTTCCAGATGCTTTAGCAACTGAGATCCCACCAGTCCTGCTGATATCTCCTGATATGACTTCAAATATCAGCTTGATAAACAAGAAGACATGGACACACGATCAGGTTAGTACTTGGTATTGTCGTACATGCAGAAAAAAGTCTGTTGATAAAAGATGTAAACCAGTGACACATATTCTGTGTAAATTAAATCTAAAATTAGAATTATTTAATTATTTATGCCACTCTTATTAGGTTAAAATAATGACTGATTCCCATACACACACAATGGGATGTTGATGATAAACATTATTTAGCATTTTCTGAATTCAGTCAGTGTTTA